TCTTCTTCCTGTAGTGCAAAGTAGCCACTGCAATGGGCCAGTGGATGTGATACTTATGATCCTCTGATTTAGAGGACATCACACAGAGTAAGGCCTTGTCATTATCACAGAACAGCTTCTGGTCTTCCTGGTGCATCTCATGCATGCCTTCTCCTTCAGGGTACATGACAATGTCATCTTGAAGAGTTCTCAGCTGGGAGAACTCTCAGTATGCAGTGCAGTATGAGGATGGAGAGGCTTTCTTCTTGAGGCAAGACATGCAAATAGTGTGTCCGCAGTCAATGGTGATTGACATACAGACCTCATCCCAGTAGATAAAACAGAGAGGACTTTCTTCTTCTTTAAATTCAAGTTCCATCAGCTTCTCATTATTTCAAAATATCTGTCCCTCAGGAAATCAGCTGAGGAAAGCATCTTGGCTCAAAGCAAGCACACCAAAACTGCTGAATGCTTGGAGTTAAATAGCAAACATTAGACATTTTCTGTAGATCAGGGATTCTCAAACTTTTTGGTCTGAGGACTCCTTTAGACTCTTAAAAATTATTGAGGACCATCCCCCCTCAAAAGAGCTTTGGTTTATATGGGTTATATCTATCAATATTTACCATATTGGAAATTTAAATTTCTTAGCATTATTATGAAAATAGTTTCGACCTTGGACCCTCCTCCTAAAGGGTCTCTGGAACCCCTAGGTGTCCTTGGACCACACTTTGAAAACTGCCAAAGTAGAGCAAAAGTTCTTGACCTTATTACATATCATCTGCCTCTTTGATGGTCTGTAAAACCATCAGAATTATGTTTCTAAGCAAATAAACAAACAAAATACATAGAATTACAAAGGAAACAAATTATTTTGAAACACAATGATCAAACCATATTTTTCTTCATAGAGGATGATAATGGTTGGGAGAAGGAAATAGTTCCATGCATTCTAGAAAATGCTATGGCTCTACAGCTGCTATGAAGATGGAGGTCATTCAGCAATGTAAGAAGACAGGAGTGGAGGATGCTTAGTCCCCTACTCATGATCACCATTGATTTGCTGTTGAGGGTTACTGAACCATCTGCCTGTCAACTTGACATAAACACGAGAAACCTGATGTCTTCCTTGGGCATGTATGCAGGACCTCATAGAAAGCCTCCTGAGACTTGACAAACTTAACATTGCATCCCCTGAGATTCATGTGGATACATTTCTAAGAAGAGTTGCTAGGGATTTGGAAGTCCCAGGCTCAAAACAGAAAACCTTAATGGCAAAGACTCCTATATTCTTGACTATTACCAATTGGATATCAATCAATCAATATTTATTAAGCAACTACTCTTGTGTGAGGCACTGCGCTAAACCCTAGGGATACAAAAAGAGGCCAAAAAAAATAGATCATGCCCTCAAGGAGCTTACAGTTTAAAGGGAGAAAAAACATGCACACACACAAAAATATAAAGCAATTATATACAAAATAAGAAGTAATTTATACAGATAAGACACTGGAATTAAGAGCAGTTGGGGAAGGCTTCCTATAGAAGGTGAGATTTTAATTGGGACTTAAAAGAAAGCCAGAGAGGTCAGTAGTTAGAGCAGAGGAAGTCATGAGTTACAGAGTTTTCAAAGAGAAAAGAAGATTTGTGATGTAAATACCTGTCTAAGAAGATACTATCTGAGAATGGGATTTGAATTTCTGGACCATGACTGAAAATATCAAGATAACTTAATACTCTCTGATTAAAGGGGATATAAAATGAGAAAGGGAGGTAGAAAATTGTCCACAAATATTTGGTAAATTAGATACTTCTGAGAGTAGCAAAAACAACATATAAAAAAGATTATCCCTTAAAAAACCAGTAATTCACAATAGACAGTATCCAAGAAGAAAGCTAGCATTAAGATCTATGACTTCAGGATATCTACATGAAGCATGGGCAAGAAACAAGAAATAGGAACCCTAGATTCAAAAGTAGAGATATTACCATAATAAGACAAATTTAACCTGATAGGCATCACTGAGGCTTGGAGGGATATGACTCATGACTAGAATATGACTGTGGGAGATCATCCCTCATTCAAAAAGGAACAGCATAGATAAAAGGGGTGATGGAGGTAGCCTTATGTATCAAGAAGATCTAGTCATATGAGAAATCCAGGAGCCATTCTCTCCAGGCTAAATAACCCTCAGTTCTTTCAGATCACTCTTGAATACCACCCTGGTTACCCAGTGGATATGTGTAGTTTGTAAATATACTTATGGGATCAGAAAATTACAGATTTTGAACTATAAGGAACCTCAGAGATCATTTAATTCAAATCCCTTATTTTACAGGTGAGCAAACTGAAGCCCAGAAAAGTTTAAAAAAATAACAACAATAATAATATTAAGTCAACAAGAGACGGTGCCAGGTTTTGAACTTAGGTCCTCTGACTCTACATCTAGCACTCTTGCCATGATTTCCTGGATCAAATACATAGTCTGAAAGTAGCCTATAGTTTCCATGAATAACCTTCAGATGTTGGTATTCATCTCAAGTTAATGTCCGTGCTAAGATTTTAATATGACTTAAATGAGACTTTTACTCTAATCCCTTTTGACATGCTGAACTTTGATGTGACAGGGAGAATTCATTAGAGGATAACATGATTATCTATTAAAATGGAGAGGATCTAAACATCCTAATTTTACTTCTTCTTAAATGTTTTTGTTGGTTTCATGTTCCTGACTGTTTCCTCAATGTCATTTCTCAGTTGAACATGATTGGTTTGTTTCAGATGTATATAATTCTCTTTGCAAATATACGTATATATGAATTCTCTACAATTACACACACATATGTGAATCGACTATGTGATATGCACTATCCTAGGCTTTGAAAGAGATGCAAATTTCCAGTTCAAAAATTGATTCAAACCAGCAATTCAGACATAGGATGAGGGGTGGGGGAGATGACATAATTGAACAAACACAGAGTTGAGAATAATGAGAGACATTTCTGTTCCCAACTTTTTGAATAACTAGCTTTAAACAAATCAACTAACCTCTGTGTGCCTCAGTTTCTTTATAAGTCAATAGATAATAATATCCATTTTATTTACCTCAGAAGGCTGACATAAAGGATCAAATGGATGACAGATGTGAAAGCCCTTTAGAATGTAAGAAGTGCTTAGTACCTGTAAAGCTCACAGATCAAGTGATTCCAGTCCAAGACAATCTTGGTCATTCTGCTACTTTAGAGTAGCCTCATTGCCCACTAAGTACTCCTGATCTCTTTCCCATTACCTCCTCACCAGCCTGTAAAGACCTTCACATGAGGCTGATCTTCCTTATCTCTACGTTTTCATGTCAAGACTTGACAGTCCTTCATATGTGCTGACTTTGATGTGCTGACCATGTTCCCTAAGGGTCCGGATAGTGACCCTCCATTAAACAGCTTCCTTCACTACCCTCTAGCCCAATGCCAGTAACTGATGATAGTTTTTTTGTCCAACTTGGTCGAACAAACTGTCAGAAAACAGATAATTAAATGGCTTCTACCAGATTCCCAATAGTCCTTCCCTCCAAGTATACATTTTTCATTGGAGATAAAATGAGCAAAGCCATGTTGAAGGGTAGGCAAGCCCAGGATAAAATACACCAGGGAAAAAGAAATAGTAAGTACAGTGTGAGGAAATTTCATTAAATTTACACATTTTGAATTTTGGGAAGCTCTGCCCTCTATTGAGTAAAGTTATAATAAGTCAAATCATACGTGACGTAGGGGAGGTTCAAAGTCTGTTGAAAAATGACAAATTGGGGGCAGCTAGGTGGTGCAGTGGATGGAGCTCTGGCCTTGGAGTCAGTAGGACCTGAGTTCAAATCTGGCCTCAGACACTTGATACTTACTACTTACTAGCTATGTGACCCTGGTCAAGTCCCTTAACCCTGATTGCCTCACCGAAAAGAAAAAAAGAAAAATGAAATTGGGGACAGCTTTTTCCCATGTAGGATTATTTTCTGAGTAAGTTATTCTTGGTTGCAAGCCTATATCTTTCAGAGAACAATAGAAAACTCACAAGGAAGCAAAGATGGACAGTTCTGAACACAATATGTAGTTTTTATTATATAGGCTTTCTTGAAAAGGAAATTTCATTGATGTTTATTTTGAATCCTCTCTTACATTCTGTTGTGCACATGGCAATGCTTTTTTTTCTTTTCTTATTTAGTATTTAAGTTTATATGTTTATTTTTCTTTTCATATTGTGTATTTAAGTTTAAAATAAATTAATAAAAATAAAATTCCTAAAAAATACTATATCTTTTGCCTTTTGGAATATCATATTCCATATTCTGTGCTCCTTTATGGATTAAATGTGCAGAGAAATACATATTTTTGGATGTGGCCAATGTGTGCCTTCCTCCCTCCCTCCCTCCCTCCCTTCCTCCCTTCCTTCCTTTCTTCCTTTCTTCCTTCCTTCCTTCCTTCCTTCCTCCCTTCCTTCCTTCCTTCCTTCCTCCCTCCCCCCTTCCTCCCTTCCTTCCTTCCTTCCTTCCTGCCTCCCTCCCCCCTTCCTCCCTTTCTTCCTTCCTTCCTTCCTTCCTTCCTCCCTCCCCCCCTTCCTCCCTTCCTTCCTTTCTTCCTTTCTTCCTTCCTTCCTTCTTTCCTTCCTTCCTTCCTTCCTTCCTCCCTTCCTTCCTTCCTTCCTCCCTCCCCC